GATCATAAGTTCAAATGTTCTAACAAACTTGATATTATGGATTTTATCTTTTACATGTTTTTCCAAATTACAAATCGTACTCCTCTGTTTTAAATCAAATCTGCAAATTTTTCATACTAAAATTTTACAATCTACAATCAGTTATGGTGATCATTCTTCAGATTTCAAAAGATTGCACATTTTCTGATTTGTGAACAGCCATCGTGTTTACTTAAAAATATGCAATTTAATCAAGAGAAAGAAAAAAAAAAAACGAAGAAGAAAAATCAAATCAATCACTATTTTCCAATATGAACATTCCTTGCATGTTGCCAGATAGTTCATGACAACAAGCAGCAGACGCCACACTGGTTATAGAGATACAGGGCAGCCTATCACATTAAGATAACAGTGTCTCTCCACAGCACAGCCATCCCTCCCTCAATAATAATACTAACCATATTTTGGTGTCAAATTAGAAAAGTGTTAATGGGTGTTATGCCACAGACCATTAATTCACCGAGCAGACCGGAATACAGCAGCCTGCTCCCAAACTAAGCTACTGCTAATTTGAACATGTGTGGAAGGGGTGAAAATCATTTGTTCAAATAAATGAGGAGAAAATATTTGATTAAATGTGCAAAATTAGCTGTGAATTTGATTGTGAAATAAGTGCGTGGTTGATTTGCGACAAGCATGATATAATTTTACATTCTTTTCACAACTGCTGTAAATGTTGTAATGAAATAATATATGATAATCAAAATTTAGCATAAATAAATAACATATTCTTAGGGCAAATCTGATTGATCTGATCTATTTATTTAATTTATAACATTTTAGAAAAAGAAGAATAGTTTTTAAGCAGTGCATTTTCATAGACTTTTCAGTAATGTGATGTACTAAAAGTGTACGAAACTACTACATCTTTGGTCCAAAATCAAACTATTTAATTCCATAAACGACATTTTTTGTGTGTTTTACGCTAGGCTGCCGTAAAAAGTCACTCAAGTGGACAGAAAACCAACCCACGTGAAATTCATCAAATATTTAAAGGAGTACATGACACAGCGCTGACTTCATGACATCTGCCATGGCCTTGGTAAATGAAACGTAAAAGCTATGTTTATGTATGCAGATGAGAGAAACTGGCTTCCTTCTCTGCAAATGATTTTGGAGGAAGAACTTTAAATTGCGATTTTTGCAGCAAGTATTGGAATGGGCTTATATTTCATATTTACTTTTTAAAATTCAGATTAATTTAACAGAATGTTTTAAACATTCAGTTGCTTTAGAGAGAAAACTGAAATATGAGCTGCTATACTAAAGCAAGAATCCCAAATATTACAGAACATGTTTGAGGTATTCCTATAGAAGATTAACAAGTTTTTGGAACTGGGATACTTTTTTTTTGTTTTTGAACAGTGGGAATACATAAACAATTTCATATTTTTGCGATTTGTTAACTACGACTATTCAAACTGCGATTTCAATTGCGACGTGACATTTATGCTACAGTAAAAAAGTAATAATAATTTAAAAAATTCAAACCAGGTTCAGTCGTTTCTAATCATGAATGAGAAGCTGGGGTCTTTTAATGGAGAGGTCCACAGTCAACCTCCTGCCAGTAAACGCATGTGGTTTGAAGCAGTGTTCAGTATGGAGTAGGAAATCTGACACTACAGTATATGGCACTAATCAAAAGTATTGTTGTAAGTAATTTGATTGGAAAGACAAAATAACATAAGTTAAGCATCAATTTGGGAAAAAAATGATAACATTTTCATCATATCGCCCAAACCTACTTCAAACTTACTTGCGCAATATTTTCCGAAATCATGGCAGTAGGAATTGTGTTGACCCCAAAACTCAGCACATCAAAACAAAATGACAATCTGCTTTCAAAATATGGGAAAAAAAACGAAGAAACAAAAACACAGTTAATTTTCATCATATCGTCCAAATCTATACTTCAAACTTACTTTAACAATATTTTCCAAAATCACGGCAGTAGGAATTGTGTTGACCCCAAAGCTCAGCACATCAAAACAAAATTACAATGTGCCTACAGTTGAGGAACACAGTGGGCCGGAGGATTGAGTAAATGTCAGGCGTGCGGCTCAAGTGTTTGCATATACGCCAATGATGTATGGGGCTCGTCTTGCGCCATTTATTCCCCCAAGCAATAACATCGCCGGATCTGTCTCTCCGACTTAATTGAAACGGGACTTGTAATGTTGCCCTTTTTCTCCATGGGACCAAAAACATAACCTCTGACTCCCACACGTCAGCCAATAGTGAGGGAGAGAGAGGGAGAGAGAAGGGTGGGTTGTCACCGAGGGAGAGGGGGAGACAGAGAGGGAGGGAGAGAGGAAGAGAGGGAGGGAGGAAGAAGAGTGCCAACTGTCTCAGAAATGATATTGTCTTCTTAATGCAGAGTGCGTGTGCGTCTATGTAGGATATGGCTCTTAATTTGCAAAAACAGATGTGTGCCATTTTTAAAAGTTATAGGGGGGCTTGCAGTTTACTCTTAACACAATAGATAGTAAAGTAGTAGTAGTAGTAGTAGTAGTAGTAGTAGTAATACCATTTATATGTTTGCTCTTTGCTGTTATATTTATTGTGATGTGTGAGCTACTGTGTCCAAAATTATTTCCCTTGTGGATCCATATAGTTTGTCTAACTCTAACTAGTAGTAGTAATAGTAGTAATAGTAGTAGTAGTAGTAGAAGTAGTAGTAAAGTGTAGTAATGTTTTCAAAAGCCAATAGTATTTTTTTGCATTCGAAATATTATTCCATCCCTCCTTGATAAAATCCACATGAAATTATTGTTACTGATAATATCTTGAAGATGGTAACAAACAGAAAAAGAAAAATATTTTTTGACCATTTTTCAAAACTGAAGTATTTGTTTTTCGCAATAGACTTCTTCAGATAAGATTTGAAAAAAATGACAAACTTTTGGGTAAAAGTATTGATTCTTGAAAACGTTGTCATGGCAATTTCTAGTAGATTTGCAAAAAAAAAAGAAAAAAAAGAAAAGATGTTCAGTTACGTATTTTGGAAAGCGTATCGAGAAGCAGTAACATTTAAGACATGGGTGAAATATGAAATACTAAACAATTAATAAGATGAACATGGAATTCAGACCATAATTAGAAACAATGGAAATATTTAAAAAGTTTGATTTGATTTTCTGTTTTCTCCAGAGTTACAATTTTGTCACAATTTGAACTTTTTTATTAACTACTTATTACACACAAATAGCAAAATACCACTGCATATTGCAATACTCAACACACTTAGTGCATATAGCTTTACCATATTCCACAGTCCTACTCAACCACCTTCTTCTGACTTGTCTTCCTGGAACAAAATGTACTTTTTGGCACAGAAAAAGTCACTGACCACCGCTACGAGTCAGCACAAGACTATAAATGTGTATTCCAAAACTGGATACAAGCAAAATCAAATATAGCAAGACTAAGCAGTTTAAATTGAGTGAAGTAAAAGTGGCGTTCTCCAACAAAACGCTCGTACAGTTAATGTGGACATCTGTAAGTGCTGTTAAGTCCCAGCGGACATTGACAAAGAACAATAAATAACATCTGCGGGCCTTCCTAAAGTATAAGTAACTCTCTCTCACTTCAACACTCTTCAACGTTATGATGAAGATGTAAAGCTACAGTTTTCCAAAAAAAATCTGTTTTTATGATTTGGAATTCCAAGTGACAATATTAAAACAAACAATGCCATCATCCTTCTGGCTACACTTGCATAGTAATTCACGCTATAGCTCATATTTATCACATAGAAATTTTAACAGATGTTCCCATGCACACTTGTAGAATGCAATATAGAAGCGATGCGTACTTGAGGATTAGTAATGCTGTACAGAAAGGAACTAAAGAAACTACGCCAAAGCCAGGAACAATGTGTTTACAAGCAATTGGGTCTAGTATAACCGAATTTTTGCAATGCACGCTCATTTTCCTCCCCTGTCGCGGGTATTGATTTAAAATGGTGGCTGCACGAATATAGTCACACACAGACCATGTAATCTTCCTTTTGAGATGAAGACTTCCGAGAAAAAGGGGGAGCAGAGAAGGAGACACAGAGGCAGGCTTGAGGGGTCCACAGACCGCAAGCTGGGAATGTGAAATTGCGGACGATTATTCGCTGGGCAAAAATACAATGGCTGCCAGATGAACTGTAGCCCCCCAACACAGACAAAAGTACAGTGGTAGCAAGGCTGTTAGTTGCTCTGGTTGTTTCAAGCTCTACACAAGTCACACAAAAGTTTTCCATTTTCACTGGAAAGAATATGATGATGGGAATTTGTATTATGGTAACAATTTGAACTATGATTAACAAATTGTAAATTGCAAATTTTAACACATAAAGCAATAAACACCTGATCTACTCATCGTATCTAGTAGGCTACTCCATGCTCGTGCCCCAGCTTGGCCCCAGGGTCAAATAACACGTTGTAAACCACTGACCAAACATCAGATACATGCCACAAACACAAATAAACACGCATCAATTTTAACTTCATTACCAACTTTTCCAATTAGCCCGCGGTATTAACACCTGTCACCGCGCCACGGTCCTCCCTCCCTCTCCATAAACTGTTTCCTCCTTAGTTTCTCTCAGACAGACACGAGAGGAGCGGGGGAAAAGAAGGGAGGGAGGGGGCGGAGGTCACGTGACTGTGTGCACCCCATTCCATCAGACGGGCTCAAGTTCCGGACTAAGGCAAGAAAGGAGCGTCTCTTTTTCCTGAGCACATCCAGATGTTGACGCGCCGTAGCCAGCTGCTGCGTAACGCGTAGTCTATAACAACACTGTTGCTCTTCTCACGCATTATCACGCAATAGTAGGCTATGGTTTAACTACGACAAAACTGGAAATGTCACAAGCTGAACACAAGTAGACTCCGTAAAAAGAATAAACATATTTCAAGTTCATGATTCTGAGATTCTGCTAGATCAAATGTTGGCACAGCCGTACCACTTACCTTTCAGTGATCTTGGTTTCGCTTGCTTGCGGCGCGACATCCTATAGAAAAAAGAACGCCGAAGTTGCTCAGTTTCTGTCTGATATGGAATTGGCGTCAAAGCTCTTTACGTGCGTAAAACCACCGCCTTTCGTAGCATTCCACTAATCATACACAAGTTAGCCCCGCGCTATTGGCACGATGTTATTTAGCAGCGGTGGATGGACGGGTAAAATCCAATTAGCCCTCGCCCGGCTATAGGCGACTGTGTTTAGTTGTGGAGCAGCTGTGCGTCGGCAAAAGTGCGAGAACAGCGTTCCGTCACGCGCTTCCATTCTCCGGGAAAACACACACGCGTGCGGGCATCGTGGATGGATAAAAGCGCTATACTTCTACTACGACTTCTAGCATTTCGCATCTCTCATCTGAAATGCATCCGCGTGAGAAAGACATCGGCAACCGCCTCCTGTGAGAGTGCGAAAAAATGCAACAAAACACCCAAAAAAGCAGGTAAAAACGAGCATCAACACTTTGATTTCAAATCCAGCTAACAGCATCAAAACTCTCCTGGACTCTAGCGCTTTTCCCGCTGCACTCAGCTAATCATGAATTAGGTTCGGAATGTGCTCTAAGTCTACGTCTAAATAGCTCTTAAAAAGAGGATGAAGAACAGAGAGAAGATGGAAGCTCCCTCCTCATCACAAACCTGCAAGGTCTTGGACTGCGCTGTCGCTCCGGTAGTCCACATAATAATGGAAAATGGAAGCAAGGCCCCCAAAGCCATCAGGATGGCTCCAGAGGGGGCCCCTACCCCGCAGGGACTCGCTCTGTACGTAATCACTGAGGAAATCATTGTCAGCCTGCCTGCACTCACACACAGACAGAGAGGCATGATTAAAATCCGAGGGAGCGCGGCAAGATGCGGAGTGCTGGATCGGCTGCTCGCGCCGGATCCGGACTCCGAGTCGTCCCCTCCGCCTCGCGCTCGCCGCCGGACACTCTCGGTCTATGGCAGACGGACTGGTCCCCCTTCTGGTGGAAAGGCTTCAGCAGAGGCGAGCCACAGACAGAGCAGAGGACCGGGAGCGCATGTGAGAGAAAGAAGGACCACTACAAACCAGGACGAGACGGACATGGATCTAGGCTATTCGTAACATGTTGATTTCAGTGCTTTAGTCATCTGACATCATTTAGTCAGAAGTGTATTGGCCATTGTTATTTAATTAATAGGCTAGGATGGTAGCTGAAACTTCAACCCCAAGCCAAAACATATCTTATAGTCCATTTTCCTGTGTCAAGCTTTAAACTTCATGCTTTCAATTCCTCTCAGTAACCACTATAACAGACTTGTGTTTTTAATTGATAGATGTCTTTTTTCTCTAATTAAGTCTCCTTCATTATAGTGACATCACATGACCTCCTCAAGTATCTGTTACGTTTCAACAAATCATCCAAGATTACAGCAAACGGTGCCAAGTTTTCCAATCAAACAGAATATTTACGATTAGGATGATAATATAATCGGGATGTTATGAACAAAATAAAATAAAAATGTTTAGACACAATAAGTCGTCCATCATGTGTTATGCATTCTCAATGCAAAAATGTATGCCAGACCGCCCGCAAAAAAAAAAAAAAAAAAAGAATCTCCAGAATAGTACAATAGTATGCATGAACAACTAAAGAGCAAATTATTTGCTAGACACACAGAAAACCTTTACTAAACTCAAATAGAAGTACACTAACAAACCAAAAAACTAACAAATATCAAGGGTACCTACCAGTAGAGTAGATATGAGTAGAGTGGAACCTTTGGCCTGTAACAAAGGAAACATCTAGCCCACTTGATTGGTTTGTGGTAAACTGTATTAGTAAGCATCACATCGAAAGTCACACTGAATATTATGATCTTACAATTTGTTAACGGCTACATACGGTTTACTTCTACTGTTATTGTATAATATATATAATGTGACTATTGCACAAAGAGCATGGCAATAGGGAATTTAAGGTGAGACACTACACATTGGTCTCTTAGCATACAAGCTTTCATGTGGAAACAACAAAATGGTCCACTATGCACCAAAATATGTTTTAATATTTAATTTAATGAACTTGCATCTATAGAGTTATATGGGACATTGTAACTTCAAAGGCTATTTTCTCAAAATGCACATTTTCCCCACAAGGGCATAAGGATCACCCCTTGAAGTAGCACCTAAATACACCAAACTTGCTAAGCTTGTGCTTAACAAAATTTACAAAACACGCAGAAGGATTTTTTGATATCTAATTCCAAGTCTGATTTATTTCAGTTTTAATTCCAGAAAATGAGTCGAAATAAAACTTTAGGCAATTTTTCAGTGAGTTTAACTTTACTTTTCAAAAACATTAACTTTTTTAAGAACCAAAATCCTCCTCTAAATACTTTTTAGTATCCAATATGACAATAAAATTAAGCAAAACATTTATACCTGGCTCCATCTATTTTTGAGATTCAAATGCCTCAAAAATATATTTTGGCAGTTTTTACACATAAAATACAAAATGAAAACATTATGAAAAAAATACATTGATGAAAAGCTTGTAATACATTTTCTTCCATGTATGTGAGTAAACTACAGAAGAGGTTTAAAATTGATATTTCAATTTTTATTTTTATTTTTCCCCTATTCACCTGCCGTGTCTTGCCTATTATTATTATTACTTATCATTGGATTATTGGTTCTCAAACTGTGGTGCTCATCCAGGTGATATACTTTGATATGGTTTACTCTAATATTAGCTAATAATTGTCGATGTAATGCACATTTTTAAGTTGTTTTTTAGATCTGGCGTCACGCAGAAAGACAAATGTGGCACCATATTTGATATACAGTATGCTTGGAATTGCAATAATGAGATAATGAATAAACTTAGTTAAATAAAAAAAAAAAGTAAATATTTACTAAATTAGGGCATATAGTGAACTGAGTCCAAAAAACCAAAAAACAAATACCAAAACAAGTCTATTGCATTTGCAATTACTGTGCAGCGTTAATCTTAAACTACATTTGTTACTATATATTTTCTGTGTCTTGTTTATAGATTTTATTTCAAGTGCAATTTGAATCCTCTTACATGTAATTATGTCATATATATATTGAAACAGCTCAAATAAAACTGAGTAAAATTATTCATTTATATAAAAATATCTTGTAGCCTGGCCTCACCTCCTGCTATGGTCCTGACCATGTGAAAATGAGATCCAGGGGCCCCCCATACAAACACCAGAGTCCGTGCATCTGTATTCTCATTATATGTGGTGCGATTGGCTGGAACTGAAAATGACATAGTAACCTTTATCTAGAGGTTCAGAGTACACTACTGATTTGTTTAAGAAATGCAGAAAGCTATCACAGTTAATGATGATGCTCCACATAACGAGGCTGCTTCTATAGGGTATTCACACCTTTGGCTTCCAAGTTTATAATAGGGTATACCACTATTACATGCACAAGTGTTTTTTCCTCATTTTTTATATATATTTGAAGCCAACCGCTAATTAACTGCAAAAAGAGAAAACGAAGAAGCAAACAACAATTCTAAAAAGTATATTTGAAAAAACACATTTAAGCAGATTATAAGGATGTTCTAAGTGTCCAAGATTATATGCAGCTGTTTATTTGGCAATACTTTTTCCTGGCAAAACACAAACTTAAAGGTGCATTATGTCACTTTTCCAGTGGGTATGCCACTTGCTTTTTAGTTCAGATGCCATTGCTTAGTCTGGAATGTTCCACAATATTGTGTTAAACTTAAGTATCTCCGGGGAGACTGGCAACACCGCTAGGTCAAGTTACAGGTCAGATCTGTGTGAGTGTTCACAGTAAGAATGTTTTTTGTTTTCCATGCATAGATCTTTGAGCAATAAAAATACATGTAATTGAATACATGCAAGATAGTTACATTAAATGCCATTCTGTGTAACATTCCAGGCAAAACAATAACATCTACATGGAGACAAGCAGGTGGTGACCCTCCACCAGAGATATCACACAGTGCACCTCAAAAGGTACAGTAGGAATGTCTGTTGACAATGTAACTTTCCAGAGGTGGCCCCAAGATTCCATGGAGATAGAGAGTTAAAACCATACGTTGGAACATTCTCCATGGAGGTAGATAAGTTTGATTCCATACAGTGGAATATTACAGCCAAAGCAAGTACATTTCCAAGAAAAAACACGCAGAAAGAGCCCCTCCACCAGGCCAAATAAGAGTCAGGCTTATGGAAATGCAAGCCTGCTCACACGTGTTTTTCAGTGCAATAAAAACAACAAAAATGTGACATACTGTGTCTCGCAATTCTCTTCTGTGAAGTGAGTTCTACATTTCAGAATAAAACATAATATTACAGTAAGTGCCAGCAAGTCCAATTGACTTCCAAAACTCTCTTGTGGTTACAATTTTGTTTTCCACACTATGTGTCTGTAATAGGGCTGGGTATCATTAAAAAGTTTCCAATACAATACATACCTTGATACATGGGCCACGATACATATCTTGATACAGTGAGCTTTCGATTTGATACGATTTAATACAGTATATTTCAAACTGATTCAATAAGGTTCATCAGAAATAATGGCTAAATCATGGCTGGGATACTAAAAGTCTTTGTTAAACCATGTCTCGTGCAATGTGAAGATGAATCACACTCATTTTAATCATCAAAACAGTGAATATATCAAATTTGTCCCATAATCGAGTTTCTTTCCTCTAAACAAGCAACAAAACTATAGCGCTGTAACAAAATCATATAGAGTACTTTTGGCCATTAATTGTCAACCTTCAAAAAAAGTGAACTGGTTAGTTTGTATTTCATTAAGAGCAGGATAATAATAACTTTACTTATTTCTTTACCACTACATATAGTTCATGTATACTTCTAGAGACAATAATGTATGACATAACATTGTATACTGTATACTAAAAGCCTGAAATCTAGACTCTTGTGTGTCTTCCTTTGTACTTCTAATTATGTATATCAAAAATACATTCTATTAAACTCTTGTCCTCTTCAGTGCGAATACAAGTTCAGACTCACGCGACCTAAATAATGAGCCATCTTTCATGCATTTTTGACTCAATTGAGAATTTTGTTTT